TAACGGAACCAGACATTCAAACCAAAATCAAAACCTAAAATTTACAATAGAAAACAAATTTTCCCCCTCGACAGAATCGAAACCTTTCCACAACACAAATTCATTTTAATATACCCTCTTCATCATTTTGGACCCCTTTGAATTTTTGTAGTAACACGACCCGAAGCACCCCTCATCACTTCAGGCAATTTCCCGGTAAAATACTCCCAATATTCTATCCGACTATTTAGGTTCAACACCTTTTCCCCAACAAATTAGTGAAAATCCTTTCAACCCCCCTCATTTCATCACAACGTCTTCCATTTTGGGTGACACAAGCATTGTCACATCTTGACAGCAATAGACTTTTTAACTGGGCACTAAGCCGATTAAAATATAGACATGACATCCAAACTTTTATATATAACTTTCTATAATCCCTTTTCATGATTATATTTCCCCTTGTACTGTTAGAAATCACATCTCATCAAAATTCTTCCGCTCTATCAGGATCACAAGAACTTGTGGTTACACTTTATGATTGTGAAGAAAACCAATAAAAAAACACTAGATAAATACGCAATTAATCAAATAAAACAATTTGAATCCGAATCACAAGACATAGAATCAATAATTATAGCGGCAACATTTTACTCAAAAGCACGAGCTACAACTCTAGCAGAATTTAGGTTTGCAGCAAAATTCTCAGAAAAGAAAGTACATTGCTCACAAGTGTCAAATGGAGATAAAACTAGATTTTACCAAAATAATATTGAAAGATTTTTCATCTTAATCCTGAAGATTGCAAAAACGAAATGCAACGATTGGAGATAACTACAGACAAAGGCACAAATCGTAAAATGGTAAAATTTAAGTCTTCGCAGACTCTGCAGATCAACCAGAACTTGAACGACACCAAGGTCGTATCAAATTAGACAAAAAATATCGGTATAGGCGCACGCGGACGTTTAACTTTTGATTCAAATAACAAACTGGATACCACACATCCGAATCAACACTCCCTCGAAATGCAAAGCTGATACAAAAAAAAACTAAAAATAATAGAAAAAAAAACATCTTTTTTGATTGGAAAATTCAATTGAAAAATGTACAACTAACACGTGACTTAAAAGACGATACTATACTGTATCAAGGAATACGTTTACGTGATAAAAATATTCAAGAATATTCAGATCCTAACACTCGGACACAAGCAACCATCGTTTGGTTCCCTGAAGACACGTGAAACACATTCCATGTTGCTAAAATCCACGCAAGATTGATGAAATTCATCAAAAATATTTCCTTGAATAAATTCTTCTTGAAAAAATTGATCCTGATCGAATTACAAACATTATGATGATAAAGAAAAAATTTGAACACGTTTCACATTTATCCTGAAACAGAAGTAGTTTTTAAGTATCCCAAACCATTTTTCAAAACACAAGACTCAGAAATTCTTTTCAAATACGAAAAAGGCTTCGACCTGGAAATAGAAAAACTAAGTATTGACCCAGCATACCCATATCAAACCAGCAAAGCTAAAAAATCTTACACGCGGTATCTTTTTTTGAAAACACAGGAAATCCTGGCGGAAAACTTGCCCAGAATATAAAGATAGTACACAAATACAAGATATTTCACTTATGAATAACAAATATTTTGGCTGTACACAAATACTATAATCATTTGTTTTAGCAGTATTAAAAATATCTTACGCTGGATGTCTAGTATTAGGCAATAGATCTAATTTCCTTGATTTTGAAGTAAAAATACTTTGGTAGTACACATGCACTGATTAAGTTTCACCACTACATGTTCTTAAAGATGAAAGATGTTACAATCAAATCCCTATATTCTATAAAAATGAAGTATTCATTCTAGATAAACTGTCATGACGCATAAATTTTTGGGATACAGCTGTCCCAAATGGATCTGAAAATAGCCATACTGTTGTACAGTTAAACCTAAACGAAGATAAATATTATCGTTTTACCACATACCCCACATTAATGCCATAATAACGAAATTTTCATTCGAAAGTATTCGTGCAATAGCTCGTAACTCTTACATAGATTTACAATCAACAGATATTTTTTCTTTATCAGACATAGAACATCACATTAGAACACAACAATTTCAAGAACTTCCCACTAAAATGGACACAACACAAAGACAGTCAAGTCAATTGACCAAAACTTACGTAAAATAACGGAAACAGCTTTTCTCAGATTCTTACGCACAAAACTACAGCGGATATATTGAAGATATTAAGGGTTACTAATATCTTAACGGTGAAAAGTACCGTCCACAAGACAAGTCGCTATTTGATACTTTCAATTTTTTCAATCATAAAAACGAACTCCTAACTTTTTCAGGATAGCCCTTTTATATATTTATTAGAATGAATTATTATATTATACCCAAAGTTAATTTTTTTGGGAGTTTTCTTCTCACTATTAAAAGGAATTTACAAAACTTGTAAAGGGCATACACAAGTGAATAAACCAGCAAGCGTAGCACGCATTTGATTTGCAGGATTTTTTGGAATATTCTCCAACTCAGTTGATAAAATCCTTCTAGACGCTCAAATTAGCAATTGCAAAAAAAAAATACTATTTACAACGCCACATGCATATGACCAAAACAATACAAATTCAATCATGAAATCTCTCCCTCCCCCTCTTCTTACACTGATAATATACTGAAACACCTATCCTTTCTCCAATGTCAAGTGACCTACCCGATGCAACTAGCACCATGACACACAACCAATTAGAGCATGAATTAGATAAATTTATAACACAAGAATATCAGCTTCATCACACAAATAAAGTTTTAACCATTCACCAACTAACATACTCAGCTTCAATATCTGAACCCTCAATTCATTCAGTCCATGTTGCAACCACCAGAGCACATAGAGTTTTTAAACGAGAACACCTTAAACCTTCACCCCAATTGCTCATTAGCCATCCGCGATCATCCCGACTATATAATCATCATCAACACCATACTAACAACAAAGAAAGCTTAGTTCATAACTTACCATTTGTCGCCCAATATACATACTATCCGACCAATAAAGACAACCAACAGAACTTACACGTGTACAAAAATATCCTGTTTCCTACACTGTCGTGGACTACATACTATCATTTCACTTACCCATTAGGCCTTTCCTCGAAGAACACACCCGAATACCATGAACTATATCACTCCCTCCTTCATAAATTAACAACTGCACATCACGAAAATCAATTCACGACCATCGGACTAAACCAAATTCTCAATCGATTAAAATTCAATTCGCTAACCAATATTCAATCAATCACTACGATCATTAAATAACAAAATATATGGAAGATACCCCAAATGAAGTCGACCCCAAAACTAACCGTCAACTAATATAAAAAGTTTTTTCGTTAGATCTGAATATGTCTTCCACTCAGATAGTACCAACAAAATGTTCGATAATTTTATTGCTCGCGCACTAACAAACATCAAAGCGTTCGAATCATTTCTTTACAAACTTAACCATTTTGCACTCACATTTCACATCCTTACACCTAAGGAACGGGACATTCACTGCTCGCATGAGATCATGTTATGGACAAAACAAAACACATGTACTATAAATTCATACAGCGTCCTTATCTAACACACCAACACGTAACCCACAACACCGTTTTTTATTTATTAATTCAAAATATAATTATCCCCCACGAAAATATACAGCCCATTGAAAACACCCTATTAGTATGTAAATTTGCAACACTAAATTCAATCACAAATTACATAATTTAATTCAGAGCACAAATCATGAATTCTCACTACCCACCGAAGAACTTAAATTCATTAGAGCGCTGGAACTCTTCTGGCCTCTACTTCGCAACAAAAACGTAATCCGCATGCTTGCAAAACTTCCCGTAAGATTAGGCACGATTCAAACTACTTTCACCCATAGATTTTTCCCTGATGCAGAACCGACGTAATAATGAAAATAAATAATTAAACTAACAAATAAAATAAAATACTCACCATTCTTCACGTATTTCTATTTTTCCTTTTTAGATTTCATCAGTCATTCAGTTAGTAAAACAAAAGTCAAATAACAATCACAAAATTTCTTCTAAGATTTTAAAAATTCTATATCCAACGAAAATAAATCAATCTACGCAGTAAACTTCATTACCAATGCAATAAATTAATAAATCTGCAGTAATTTTCAAACAATCCCAGGTATTAATTTTTAAAATGAAATAAATTACAAAAAAACCAACCCTTTTTTGTGAGCTTCTTTTGTAATATTTAAAATAGTCTCTTTATTCGCCCACAATTCATAGACTCTTTTCACCACATACGCACAAATTCGCTCACGGAGAATTGTTTAATAAATGAATTTAAAGTTTCAAATCTAATTTACAACAACTCTAACTTTTATTCAAACTTTCCTTTAACCCGGTTGGAAAGAATTATAACTAAAGCTTAAACTAACCAACACATCTTACTAATACCACAAAATCAACCGCATGCTTAGGAAATGTATAAGAAAGTACCACGGTACTCAGACTAGATCAAACTCAGATTAAAATTGGATAAATGATTCTTTCGAGACCCCTTTTTATGTTTTATTAAAACCACTTGAAACTCAAAAAAGTCAAAAGAAAAACCCAAAACACAATAATCTAATTTTGAAAAAAGAACACAGCCAAAAGCAAAAAGAGAAAAACATCCGTTACAATAGAACAAAAAGTTGAACACAAAAAGAGACTCTGCCAAAAAAAACGGTGTATTCATACACCCTCACTGGCTTCACCGCCCTGTAGGACGTCTTGAGTATGCTCTATAGCCGGTCTAACCCACCGCGCTACAACCACGCTTAAGACCCACCCTCTATTTTTGACGAGAGTTGCTCTAGGGTGAGCGACTCTTTGAATTAAACGAAATTAAATTGCAACGCTGTTGCGAAAAAAATTAATCAACATCAGTTCTAAACTGATCACACTAACAAGATATAGATTTAATAAGCAATGTAAAAATGTTTCTTAGAGCAAACGGAACGAGTAGCAAAGGGAGATGAAAACTCGACGACATTCAGACGTTGGAACGGCAAATCTATTTGATTTGCTGCCAAAAGTCACTACCCTCGAAGAATTTCAAGTATGGACTCAACATCGCAGCAAAGGAAAACCATTGAACCAGACCAATGGCCATCTCGATGTTGACTACACGTACCGCTCGTAGTCACATGGCACTTCACACGGAAAAGTCAAACTTCACTCTGTCTCCAAGAAGTCAACGCTCGATACTTCTAAAAGAAACTGCATCACCCGTCCATCACAACAATAAACAATTGAAAACTAAAAACTCTCTAAACCCCGGATGGTTGGAACCAGCTCTAAACTAGTATTTATAAACCAACTATATTATTGATAAATTATCACTATAAAATATTCCTTACTAACCAATCATGATCCATAACTAACACTGACAGTTATTTGTCGTGCTGAAACTACTTGTAGTTTCAGCACCAAAACAATTTGAATAAATCTTAGAAGACAGTTGTTCTCCTTTGGATCAAGCTCCATAAACCTAACTCGCAAATACCAGTATACACTATACACTACTTCTTTTGAGACTAGGAGATATAAAAGTAAGATTAAGATTGGTATTAGATTAGGAAGTTGCACGAATCTATGCGGCTAAAAAAAAGATAGCGTGATGAACAGACGGTGTACCTTATCTGAAATTACTCCGAGAAAGCTACCTCTGGCTTAAAATCAGGTGGTCAGCCAAAAATGGATGTTCTAAAGTAACCAAATTGGGGCAATTTGGGTTGTTTGGGTAAGCAGGGGTTCAAATTACTGAGGGGAGAGCGTCTGCCAACCTCGCCTCATTAGTGGAAAAATAGGCTATGAACGACGGTTGTAGTCACTTTTTCGAAGGTTTTGACCAAAATTTGCATTTTCTTGCGCACACTACACCCTCAAAAACGTTCGCTTTTGGTGCCACAGGGACCCTTTAGGTAGACAGGAGGCCGCTACTGCTGATAAATTTGGCTTTTTCAACCTTTTTCACACGTGTTCATGCGCACATTTTGTAATTGAAGTCAAGTTTCCGCAAACATGCATAACATGTTAGTTCACTAGCATTGATACCAATGATACCGAAAAAACTGGTATTAAATATCATCTATGGTTAAAATAGGGTCTAACACAGAAACAAGCCCAGCGTAGACTGGACAGAGACGGACCGAATGAACTCACTCCACCCAAGAAACAGAGTGAGATTGTCAAGTTCATGAAGATGATGTTCACTGGCTTCTCCCTTCTTCTCTGGATAGCTGCCCTGTTCTGCTTCGGCAGCTACACCTACAGGGCCATCACAATGGCCAACGCACCCATGGATGACGTACGAAACATTTATAGCAGATCGAACTACTTTAAAATCCATCTATCCGAGTGTCTCATTTAGTTTTTAAACAATTTTTTTTTCGAAATTGAAGTTTGAATTTAACCTTCTGAAATACACGTCGATATTGATAAGGAACGTTTCGCAAAATTTTTCTGCAAGCTTTTTTTTACTTAGCGTTATTTTACTTAGCGTTTTTTTTATTGCCCGAAAACTAGTTCAAAAGTACATTTTCCCAAATTTTGCAGCTTAGGGTAAGTATAAACCAAATGAACGACAAAAAAGCCAAACGTCACCTGATGGGAATAATGTCAATATTTTAGTTATGGCTGGGAGTTGTCTTGGTCGTGGTGGTGGTAGTGACTGCCACATTCTCCTACATACAAGAAGCCAAGAGCAACAGAATCATGGAGAGCTTCCGCAAAATGGTTCCAGAGGTAACACCGCTTCAATCAAATTATAGCTGATTTCAGAAGATAATGATCTTTTCAAACGCCTACCAACTTCAGGCATGAAGAAGCTGAATTCTTTTATTTTTTCTGGGCTTACATCAAGCGGAACTGTCTTGCGAAAAACAGCGAAAAGTTTTATTTTTTCATCTTACACGAAAAAGCATACATGTAATTTTGATGGTGGCAAGCGATAACTTCGGACCCTTTTTTGGTGTCCGATATATGGTCTAATGAATATCGCTCTACCGGACTTCAAAAAATGTTACTCAGGAAAATTCTTCTAAGCAAGGCCTGAAAATGTTGTAAATTTTTTCCAATTCAGGCTACTGAAGACTGCTTCAGTTTTTTGTTCAATTGCACTCGTTTTCAAAAACCTGATTCATAGTTCATGCTTACTTCGAAGCAAATTGTGAACGGTTTATGCGGTTTATAAGCTTTTTAGCACACTGCTCTCAAAATGTTGTCTCTACCTGAGAAGAGGTTTGAATGGTTTATGTGCGTTTTTTATCAGAATAATAAGCAGTTCGAACTTAAAAAAAAACCAGAAAAGGGCGCAGAGCAACTCTCTAATCTACTGTTATCTTGGTTATTTTTACAAGACAGCGACTGTTATTCGAGACGGGGAGAAGCAGGAGGTGGACAGTGAGGACTTGGTAGTGGGGGACATAGTGGAGATCAAAGCGGGTAACAGGATCCCAGCCGACATCCGAATAATAGAGGCCAAGGGATTCAAGGTAATCTCATAACTCGAGTGCAAGGCAGACAAACGTATTATGTTTAGAAATAGCAAAAACCATAATTAAGGCATCATTGAGTCATTAACTAAGAACCATGTTTGTTTTTGACCTTACGCCAGTAAATGAATTTTTCAAAAAACCGAATTAACAATTAATTTCGCGAAAGTTATCAATCTAAAATGAGAGTTTTGTAGATAATGCAGAAAGATTTTATTCTAATGAACAGCGCATCCATAGCTTTAAGGCAACGGAGTCAAAGGCTTCTCGGTGTAATGGCCTTGTAGGAAAATTGTCTCCAATTTGAGAAAAAAAAATATAATAGATATTTTTCTCATTTTTTCAAATGTTCATAAAAAGCAAATAATTAGAAAAACTTTTTATTCAGGCTCACAAACTTTTAGATTAATATAAGATATTGATAATAAGTATATCCTCGTGTGAAGCATGAGAGAACGTCTCTAGACCAAATGGTCCGTTTTCAAACATCTCTGCGCGGAAAAACTTTCAGTTTATGTAATGCTGAAAAGGTTGAAGTTAAAAAAAAACGAAGGATGGAAACGAAGTATTTTATAGTTTTTTATGAAAATCTTCATCAAAGTTTTCATCAAATTTTATCAATCGTCATCTCAATTCAATACACGATTTGTCAAACCGTGATTTCCCATTAGGAAGATGTGATATAATTTATTAATTTCTGTGGTTGAGGCATTAATCATCGTTTCTCTAAATTCAATCTGATATCGGAGTGAAGTAGTGAACATTTTCCTAATGCGTATGATTATTGAATTTTGTGTTCTTGTAAGCACTTGCACTTATCTTTCTAGTAGTTAATTTTTATTGCTAACCTTGATGAGATCTTCAGACGAAATTATATTCTTAGTATTTCAAAATTGTTTCATTTCTAACTAATTTGTTTAAAGATTTAAGAAACTCATGGATATGTAAATCAGTAGCAGCATAAAGATGATAATAAAAGCTTTGGAGCTTCAAACGTTTTTTGGTCTGAAAAATCATTCTGTGCAATCTTCTAATAGTCTGTTCAAGATGTTTGATTGTAGTAATGTTCGATGAGCATTAAACTAATACGCCGTTTTGAATAACAGGCTGAACCTAAGTTTATTAAACCTATATCTTTTGTGAGTATGTTAAAGTCTTGGGCAGCTGATAGAATGTGCCGCAAAATGTGTTCAATTTTTTCGTACAAATTTCTATGTGACAGTTAAATTTGAGACCAGAGTCAACACTAAAACCTTAATAACTAAGAAGCTTTTTGTTTTCAATTGCTGTTTGATTCATTTAAAACTCAAAAATTAGGTTTGTTCTGCTTTTCTTGAATGTCCTACTTTTTGATTGTTGGTTTTGAGAGTAATTGCTTATGAAGTTTTTTTTTGACTTATTAGCTCATGATCTACTGCGTCTTGTTAATTCCAAAATTGAACATTGCGTGATAGAGTTTTGTTTATCCATAGTCGGATTATATAGGTTCAATCATTGCCACAACCGCATGTATGGTACTTCTTTTTACATTGAGAGCAGGAAAACGGTTACGAACAAGTGAAATCAGTTTAATTGCAATTTTTTTCTGTTCTTATCTTTCAGAAAAATTCAAAAAAGAACAAAAAAACGAACACAAAAAGGACCGAGATATTCGACAAATAAAAGTTTTGTTCCGCGCAAGGCTTCCATATCCAAGCAGTTTATTATATTCAAAAAACAGAAAAGTTAAGATTCAAAAAAAGAATGCAGTTATTCAAAAGACTCAGCCTCAATTCACACAACGTAGTGCTTTCAATGGTTGCCAGTGTTCTGATTTTTATACGCAAGAGATCTCTCATCATCATCTTATTCGGAAATCGCGTTACTTGTGGTCGATTACTTTTGATAGCAGTCTTTTCTTGTTTCAGTAAGTCCTTCTTGTAATGTACGCGCATTTGTTGATTGATGTAAAAATTCCATTTTTTGCAGCCTCAGACCTGAGTTCAGCCTCAGATGGGGGCATATGCTCCCTAACAGATGTTTTTTTCTCCTACTCAGTTTATGGCGTAACTGACGACGAGCTTGAACATTTTATCTTTATTCGCAAAATAAATGAATTTACATATTGCACTCGGTAACAAACTATCAATGGCTGTGCCAGAAAAAACGTGACATACTTTAATACTATCCTCAGTTTCTTTCAATCCCAAATATTGTGTGAAAATCCCAATGTTTCACTCGTAAAAACGTGATCACTTCTTGCATCCAAAGGTGGGTTCATTGCCACCACGCAATCTTTGCTCGTATAACAATCTTGCGCTCGCAATTGATCATCCAGGCTAGTCTGTTTTTTTTCAAAGTCTTCAACTTTTTGCTTTTGTTCAATTGTAAGTTCTCTCAATTTTTCCACCTCTTGCTACACATCACCTACTTTTTTTAATCTCTGAATTACTACGAACGACTTCCTGTAGTTGAGATGAGGCTCCAGCTTCGTCCGAAACTTCCATTGGGTTCATCAAGACTAAGTAAATTTATAGCAACAAAAGTAAAAAGAAATCACAGTTGAACTGAAAAACTTTTAGGTCTTTATTAAATTTCTATCGACGGGGAATTCAACTCTTCGATTTATTTAACAAACGGGTTTAAAAATTTCGAGGCTTTAGGTTCAAGGAATTCAGTTTAAAAATTTCAGATATGATTAAATTTAAGGTCAATTTAATTCAGTTTTTTCGATGTAGAATTTCTAGTTTTAGGATGGCCACAATTTTTCTCTTCCAACGTTCAGTTCATCGCAAGGCAACCGACTGTTTTTCAATCAACTTTCTTATAAAAAAGCTCAATTCGTTAAGTTTTTTTTTCTGTGCTTTAGGTGGACAATTCTTCCTTAACGGGAGAATCTGAACCCCAATCGAGAACTCCTGAAAAGACGAATGATAATCCTTTGGAGACCAAAAATCTCGCGTTCTTCTCAACCAACGCCGTTGAAGGTTAAAAAGTTTTAAATGAGTGATTTTACAAAAAAACGACATTTAAAATGTATAAAAGAACCGCTGCAGGCTTAAAAACCAGTAACTGTTTTAAAAGAAAAATTTTACAAAAAAAAACAGACATTTAAAAGGTGAAAACCGAATTTTTCCTCTGACGACAGTTATGAAAAACAACCTCCCAATTAGATCGCGAAAAGTTCCAATCGGAACAGCATACTCGGGATTTTTTGACGAAATCTATCTGAAAGCATGCGGGATCTCAGCAATAAAACTGCATATTCCTACTTTCTGCAGGTACTTGTCGTGGAGTGGTGATCAGGACAGGGGATGACACGGTGATGGGTCGGATTGCGAATCTGACGTCCAACCTGGGCCACACCACCACCCCCATTGCCAGGGAGATCGCACACTTCATACACATCATCACAGGAATGCCATTCACAATAGCAACCCCCCTTCTAATTCTGCAGAAAAACTTACTTTGATAGTTTTTTTCAAAATTGAAGCGAAACTTTATTGATAATGATATTAAAACGGAATATAAATTATCGACCAATACAAGTAGTAACATTTGAAGCAATTTGATACCATGATAGCACACTTCGTTAATTGATATGCTCCTATGATATGCTCCCTCGCGTCGAAATGAAAAACAATATATTCTCAATGGCTTTTCAACAAAAAAAAACAAAAAAAAACTGAAAACATTTTTACCCTATTTAATATATAAAAATTAGTTGAAAGAAAAATTAAAACTTTTCAAGAGCCTTTTTTCCACTCGCAGTACATTTATAGGTGTGGCTGTGTTTCTGGGTGTGACGTTTTTGATTCTGGCCCTGATTCTGGGCTACTACTGGGTGGAGGCGGTGGTGTTTGTAGTGGGCATCATTGTGGCCAATGTGCCAGAGGGGCTGCTAGCCACAGTCACCGTTAGCTCCCTTCATTTGAGATTTTTTATGTCGAAACTGTCCAAAAAGTGCCTAAAACGCCTTTTTTGGCCTGTTTTTTCCAAAACTCACCTGCGGGCTGATATTTTTGGCCAAAATAAGGGTATTTTTAAAGATTTGAGATAGCTCGGAAAATCAAATTGGTTGACCTAGAAAAAGTCAAAACTTCCAATTTTTTGAAATCGCCCCTCGAGAAAACTCTTTGCTATTAGTTATGTAGCCTCTAAGCAACTAACAAGGAAATTTTGTTCTCAGTTTACATCCAAACTTTCAAAGTATTGAATTAGAAAAAATGGGTTGAACTACCGTGAGCTTGTTACTTTTCATCTTTCTTTCAGATTGTTATTTGTAGCTTTCAAAGTCAGACGGGTAATAAATTAGTAATGAAAAAAACTTGATACATTTTTGATGAATCAACTAGCAGAAATGTGCTGTTTGCGTCTGATTACAGGTGTGTCTAACTTTGACAGCGAAGAATATGGCGAAGAAGAATTGCCTGGTGAAGAACTTGGAGGCGGTGGAGACCCTAGGAAGCACAAGTGTGATCTGCAGTGACAAGACAGGGACCCTCACTCAGAACAGGATGACAGTGGCTCACTTGTGGTTCGACGACGCCATCTTCGACGTCGATACCTCCGAGGACCAGTCAGGTAAGACGCCACGACATTCCGAGAGGTTAAACAGAAACGACTTCGACATCGAATTTGAAGAAGAAAAAGAAAAAAGATCTCATTCATCATTGTTTATCGTATTCTATCATATAAAATTGATCAAATTTGATTCAAATCAGTTCTGTTTAACTCAATAAACAAAAATTGCGAACGCGCTTCTCATTTTTCAGGAGAGGGCTTCAACGAGGAATCGGACACCTGGGAAGCATTGGCTCTTATTGCAGCTCTTTGCAACCGAGCTGAGTTCAAGGGAGATCAGACGGATAAACCTGTTCTCAAGAGGTAGGGTGGCGAGTCAGAGGATGAATTATGGGTGTATTGTGCAGACGGGGGATAGGCGGACCTCTTGCAATCTTGCAATCAAAATGATCCCCTGGCCATTAGATCCCCTGGCCATCAAAATGATCATACCATTTTGGTTTTGTTTTACATCAATTTTTCGGTCGACCAACCCTCCTTAAGTTTTAACAGAAACTTTTTTTGAGGGTGGATCGCTTGCAGATAAAATTGCTATATTGGGTAAAAACCTGACAAAAGTTGCCCAAAACAAGCAGAAAAAACTTTACTGCTTGATCTCAGAAAAAAAACTTTTAAAATTTTTGGGTAGCCGAAAAAAAACACAAAACCAATGATCTGCCCGTGACATGGAGCGGGCTGATATGCAAACATGAATTTTCATGGCCCTCGAGTTAATCAATTGTTTATATTCAGTGGCATGCGCAGGATATGTCTGAAGCTGTTTTAAAAAAACCAATCAGTCGTTTGGATTTTGTGGGATCTGTCGAAACAATAGAGTGAACATATACCTTTGAATTAATTTAACGTACAATACAATTTGATTAATCAATTAATATGGACCGGAAAGTTTTTCGAAGAGTAACACTACTCAACAAGCGGGACACCTCAATGGTGAAATCAAGCGTGCTCAACAAGAATGACCCTAATTGACGAACAAACTATTGTTTGATTATTGTAAGCATGAATTCGCACAAAATTTTTGAAAAAGTTTTGGTAGTCTAAAAATTGTATTTTGTCAAGATTCACACAAGATTTACCAGATTTAAGCAAATTTCTGCAAAAAATTTTTTGGCTCTACAACCTGCTTTATATCCATTTGCTCCAAAATCACTATCAATATTTCACATGCTGTTAAACACAGCATAAAAACTGTAGAAAGTACTCTAGTTTAATTCCTTGAAAAATGCCCTCTAGCCTTTTAAACATCACCACAGAGTTTGGCTACTTTTTGACGATTTTCTGAGTTTGATACTTCAAAGATAAGCTTGCGTCAACCAAAATACTTAAGTAGTTACAGCAATCAACAATTTTTTTTTCGAAAACTTCCACCTCTATTGTTTTTTTCTCCCTGAATTTTTTTAGTCTTTAGTTTGAAATTTTGAAACCTATCAACAATTTACTTTATCACAAGATTCAATGTTAATCCGCCAAAACCAATTCATCTAGCTTTTCATTTAAAATATTAACACTCACAGTTTTAAAGGTTTTTTCCAGTCAATATACATAGAAAAATCAAAACACCATTTGTCAATTGCTTCACACTTGAGTTCAATGAGTTTGGTGAATGCCTCGACAAATGACTATTAAGAATAAATTGCCATTTATTTGATCAAAAAGGAATTTTCATTGAACTAATTGAGCATTGGTTTATACATAAGTTTCTCAAAAATTTTAGCTAAAAATGTCAGTAAGCAAATTAACATTATTTCACTCTTTTTGACTTCCGGTTTCATGTTATAGGACAAACTTTGCCATTTTGAAGTCCTTCCGGAAGTAGCCGTTTTTATTCCTTAACAATTCTAGTAACAAAAAGGGCTCCCAACAGTTAATACGATGATGAAATATTGATTTTTACTGCCATCATGATCACTATGTTTTTCTTCTTAATTTTTTGCCTGTTGATTTTAAGCGAAAAATTTTGAAAAATTATCAATTAGTAGTTTTATCTGGCAATAATTTAAACGGTTCGGGATTTTTAAGTCAAGACGCAAGTTGCGAAGCAATTTCTCTAAATCATACGTTTTCTAACATGATATCACATTAGAATTCAAATTTTCGTTTGGAAGTTTTTTCTTTTTTTTGCTTAACAAGAGCTTCGTTCAAGTGACTTCTGTATGGGCAGTTATAAACAATTATACCATACTGTCAGTCATACATTTGTAGTATAAGAATTATAAAAAAACTACTCATTTCTTTGAAAAACAAATGTCTAGCATTGTAAGCAATTCCACAGAGTTTTGCTAAGTTTGGACGATTTCTGTGTATGATACTTTAAAGGTATTTTGGTGTCAATCAAAAAACAAATTTTTACAGACCCATTAGGTTTTTTAAAATTTTGTGAAATTTTTCAACTAAAAAAATTGTTTACTCCCAAAACTCTTGTACTGGCAATTTATTTTAACTCGTCGATAGTTAAGATTTTTTTTTATAAATCAAATTTCCTAATGATTCATAATTCCATCAAAAAGATCATTTTTTCTTTTTTCGGCATGGAAAAATACTTTTTTTGTCAGTCTCAACTTCCTGGCAAGACAATGTCAAATCGTTGATATACAAAGGAAAAGTGAATATCTCAAAAAGGAGCCTAGCGGTACACCTCGTTAAACTGGCTGTATTCCTATTTTTTGCTATCTATTTTGACATTTTGAAATCTACCAAAAATAATTTATAAATAGGTTCAAAGTTTTTCCGCATAGACCAATGTATTCCAGCCTTAGAATTAAAATATCAAGCTTCACAATGTCAAACGTTTTTTTCTAGTCAAAAAACATACCAAAACCAAACTTTTTTGTCAATTGCTTCACGCATGAGCTCAATGAATGCTGTTAACGCATCGACACATAACCGTTTACTTTGAAGTTCTAAATTTTTCTTTGATAAAATCAAACATTCGTTCTTAAATCAATTTCTAAAAAACGTTAGCGCATGATGACAGTAAACTAATTGGCCTGTATTTATCACACTCTTTTCAACGTCCCGTGTTTTGAATTGCGATAACTTTAGCCAATTGGAAATGGGTATGGAACGAGCCGTTTTGTAAACGTTCTTAAGATTTCTAGTCAAAATTTGGCTCTCAACAGTAAAAGGAATGTTCAGATTTTTATTTGTGCTGCCAACACGACCACTAAAGTTTTTTTTCAAGGTTTGTAGAATCCTGTTAACTTTATTAGGAAAAACAAGGGAAAAAAAGCAAATAGTAGTGCTATCATGCAATACTTAAAACTTTTCGATATTTTTGAGTTTGGCCGCATCTTGCGAACTACTCTCTGTTAGAAAATTGCCGAATGTTTCGGGCTCAATTTCATTAGTTTTTGGTTTGCAGTCCCTACAGATTTGGTTGAAAGCTGGACAAAGATATTTAGAGTTTTCATATTTTGGGTTTGTTTTTTTTATCAAACGCGGCATTAGCTCGTTTTTCGTTCCTGATTTGAAGTGACTGGCATTTTTGAGCAATTCTCGGAAGGTTAAATCAACAGTATTTTGAGCAAGTCTGAATATTGAGCTTCTAAACTTGAATTTTGTGTAGGGACGTTTCTGGGGATGCGAGTGAGAGTGCCATTCTGAAGTGCATTGAGGCAAACAAGGGGGATGTCGGGAAGACAAGGAAAGGCAACCCCAAGCTCGCAGAGATCCCTTTCAACTCAAACAACAAATACCAGGTTCTAGTGATCTTAATATCGTATTGAGTTAGAACCGAAGTGTAACTCATAGAGTAATTTCGGATAGGGTACACCGTCTGCTCGTCACGCTATCTTATTTTCGGCCGGATAGATTCGTGCAACTTCTTAGTCTAATACCGATCCTAATCTTACTCTTATACTATCTAGTCTCAGGTTGTTTAACTAGTCTCTGCTAGGCTCAATAGATCTAGGGTATACTGGTTTATTGCGGCTGCTGAAGTGCTCGGGAGAGTCCAACTAATTTCTAAGTTAAATTCAAATCTCTCTGGTGCTGAAATTACAAGTAACTTCAGCACTTACAAATAAGTGGGTTGTTAGTTAGATGGATCATGATTGGTTAATATTAAATACTTTACATTGGTAAAACATTTAATTTATCCAATCATAAAATATAGTTTAGATCAGGTTCCACCCATCCGGGTTTTACAGAGTTTTTTAGAACAGTTCTTCTGTAATTCAAGGGTGGATGATGGACGTTGGTATTTGGCGAACATCATAATTTTTTTCCGCTTCTTCTTGTGACAACGACTGAGTCTTTGCAACAAAATCAATTCTGATTTCAGAATGGTTGGCTATGTCAGGTTTTTCTGTTCTTCGGGGAGAACTTCTTTTGTGTCTGATCTAGCTTGGGAATGGCGTGGAGATTGTGCGTGGAGGGGATGCCTGGTTACTCGGATCTGTACGTATACTTGAACATCGAGGTGGTCATTGGTCTAGTTCAATGAAGTCCTTTTCTGCGAAGTCAAGTCGTACTCTAAATCCTTTGAGTTGTGATTGTGAGCGGCATATCGATTGTAGTTGGTTATTCTCTCTCGAGTGTAGTGAGGTCGTCTTGTCTTTTGATGTTCGTCCTTGGTGTTGTATTCTGATCTATATATTGCATCATGTGATTTTACATTTTATAAAACTTTTATTAGTTTAATGTTTTTTAATCATGATTTTAGTTAGTTGTTTTCACAAAAGCTTTTTGTTTTAGTTCGGTTATTTTGAAGAGTTACTCACCCTTGAGTAGCTCTTATTAAAAATAAAGGTGTGGTCACAAAGCGTGGATGTAGCGCGGTGGGTTAGGCCGGCTATAGAGCATGCTCAGGACGTCCTTTCCTGGTGGGTTAGGCCAGGAGTGGGAGTATGATTTCATGCGGTGTTTGTGAGGGGTCCTGTTATGTGACAACGTTTTATGTTGGGTTTGTTGTGGTTTTACTTATGTCTTGTTGGTTATGTACTTTTTCCAAAAAGCAAATTGTTTGTGGTATGGGTTTGTCTTTCGACTTTTTTGTGTTTTATTATTTCTTTCTAAGACTTTGTAATAGTCTTCAAAAGAATAAATTATCCAGTTTTAAACTGGGTTAATCCGGTTTGGGTACCGTTGGTTTCCTTTTCTTAGTCATGCTGTTATTCTATGATTTGTGGTATTTAGTAAGCTGCGTTGGTTAGTTTTGTTTAGTATATGATTCCTTTCCAACCGGGTTAAAGGAAAGTTTGAAACATGTTATTGTATGTTAGAGTTGTTGAGTGTGAAAACTTGAAACTGAAATTCATTATTTTAAACAATTCTTCGTGGGCGAGCTGTGCGAGTGTGGATAGAATTTCTGTGCGAATGAATGAAAATATCAAAAGGTTAGTACTGCAATTGCATTTTATTAATTTACTGCATAGAATTTGGAAATTTACTGCTAGTTATGGGGGAATTTTAAGATACAAATTTTCATCATAATTAGATTTACTGCTGTTGGGGGAAAATTTATAAATTAATTTACTGCATTGGTATTATATTTATTTAATTGTTGGTGCAAAAGTTTAATAGGGTCTTAAACAGTTTTGAAGAAGTTTGCTATTTTTTATTTTTCTTTTGTGAATTTTTCAGATGGTCTAGGATGAAGGCTAAAAATCTAAAGAAAACATGAATAAAGAATGGTGAGTTTTTAATATTTTAATTAGTTAGTAATATCATTTAATTCATACTTACCTGTTAGTCGTCGGGGAAAAAACCGTGGGGGAAGATGTCGTGAATTAGTTCTGAAGTTGTTAGTAGTTTAGCTAAGATGCGGATGATATTTTTAGTTTGAAGCAGTGGCCAAAGCAATTGAAGTGCCTTAATAGTGGTTAGTTCTTCAGTGCCTACTGCAAACTCATAAGGTGTGTTTTGGATTAAGTTATATAATTTGTGGTTAAATTTAGTGTTGTGGATGAATTCTAAAATTGGGATTTCTATAGGCTGTACAAACTCGTGCGGGATAAGGAAGGGTCGGGATTCTTCGGCGTTGAAGGTCTTGGTGATGGGGCAGAAAATGTACATTTGGGTTATGGGGTCATAATTACGAAGAATACCATGGAGGTTAGTGTCTTTAATACAATATGTGAAATTTAGGAAATACGGTGAAGTGTATTTTGAATTGATGAATTGGAAACGATGGTGTGGTTGTCTAGAGGGTGTGTGGAGGTCAAAGTGATTTTGGATGAAACGATAGTAACTGTATGTATGTGTTTGTTTAGTGCGCAACATAATATCGTGTGAGCAGTGTAAATCTCTTTCGTGTGGTGCAAGGAAATGAAAGGTTAGTGAAAAGATTTGGAAGCGTTCTTTAAAACTTTCGTATGCTTGTGTGTTTGTTAGTGCTTCTGAAATAATGTGATCAAACTTTCGGTCGAAGATGTTTAGTGTAAATACATATGGTGTCTTGATGAAAAATTTCTCGGTGATTTGTGGATTAGCGAAGCGATCGTCGTCTAAGAATTGATCTTGGTTAGCTCTAATGATGTTGTGATCGTAGTATTCTAGTGTATATTCATTAGCTCTAGGTGCAGTGTGTATTTTTAGTGATTTTTTATATCCAACGTAAGTAAACTGTCTAGCGGTTAGTGGTGTAGTTAGTTGATATAGCATGTCTTTGTTTCGGTCTATATCGATGGAAGTGCTGGATAAAGGTAAGCAAAGAGGGTTAGTGAAATGATAGTATGAGGTCCAAGAGAGAGTGGGCATTAAAACGTATTCATCTACAAAGTTGCGTGTTTCGTTAGCGTCGTGAGGGGTGTTTAAGGTGTATTGTGGAAACGAGGGTAAAGTGATAGCTAAAAATTCTTTAGTGTTAGTATGCTGGGGGTGGTTGATGTATTCACGGGCTGTTCCTGGTTTTGCTGGGAAAGGATGGTTGGGGAATTTTCTTTTAAAAGTGCGGTAAGCTCTATTAGTGTTTAGTGAAGATATAGTGGATGTGGATGATGGTGTTAATGATTCAGTATAATTTGAAGAGGGTGTAGGGGGATTGGATGAATTTGTAGTGGAGGAGATTTGGTTTATGGTTGGGGTATTAAGGTGGTAGGGTTGTTGTTGAAGGGTAATGAAATTATCTAGCTCTGGGGAGATTCGGGGGGTGTCTGGAGATTGAGATGATTGGTCAGAATGGTATGAGGAATAGGTTGGGGTAACTTGGGAAGCATAAGAGGGTGTGGGAGTGATGGGGTCAGGGTTATTTGACAATATGGGTTGAAAAGGAGGTTGAGAAAAATTAGAAGGGTTATGAAAATCATTGGATGGAGATGGTTCTGAGTCGGCAAATTCATCGGGGGTTTCAATATTCGGGTTATTTAGCTGTGAGATGGAGTATAAAACTGAAATATGTGAGTTAGTGTCGGAATTCATGCCTGATGTTACATTGCTAGATGGAAAATCGGGTGGCGGAAAAGCAAAAAGTGGTATAATTGGGATTGGAGAGGTGAGATTGGTTGGGTGGGAATTTGATCGGTGTAGTGATCCAAGTTGGCGGCTCATCGTGGGCTAAAAAAATTATTATTTTGAGATTGAAAAGCGGTGGTATGGGGTTGTTCAATAATTTGTTCATAAGTATTATCATCTTGTGATTGATGTGTTATTATATGTTGGACGGGACTTTGCGATGTATTGAGTCGAAAAGTTGGATTATGTGTGATTGCTAAATTTCGAAAATTTCGTGGGACTAGGGATAGTGGATGGTTATTTGGTAGGGGTGGTAATTGTGGTGCCGTTGGCTGTGTGTCGACATTGTTATGTTCTTCGTCGTATGTATTTTGTCGTGTTGTTATTTTTGTGTTATATTCTTTTATTTGTGCGTCTAAAAGAATTTTGTTTATAGATGTGGAAAAAATTCCAAAAAATCCTGCAAAGAGTATGCGTGCTACGCTTGCTTGTCTGTTTACTTGTGTGTGTATAGCACATGTATTGTAGATTCCTTTTAAGAGTGAGAAAAGAAATCCAATAAAGTTAAACATTGCGTATAAAATAGTCAATTTTTCTAAGATGTAGTAGGGCCATCCTAGAAAATCAAGGATTTCATTCTTGAGTGTAACAAAGCTAAAAATGTTGATTGGTGATATATCTTGGGGACGGTATTTTTCACCGTTTAGATATATATAATCTTTAATGTCTTTAAAATATCCGCTATAGTCTTGCGTGTAGATATCGGCAAATCCTGCGGTTTCTGCAAGTTTGCGTAAATTTTGATCTATTGATTGTCTTTGTATAGTGTCCATTTGTGTTAATAATTCTTGGAATTGTTGTGTTCTAATGTGATGTTGAATATCTGATTTTGAATAGATTCCTATTGATTGTAAGTCTATATTTGGGTTTCGAGCGATAGCGCGAATGCTTTCTGGTGAAAATTTTTTGAGTGATTGCATTAATGTGGGATATGGAGTGAGAAGATAATATTTATTTTCATCAGGGTTTAGTTGTACTACATTGTGGCTGTTTTCTGATCCACATGGGACTGCGGTATCCCAGAAATAGGTTCTTCGTGAAAGTGTATCCACGAAATGTACTTTATTCTTATAAAAGATAGGGATTCTTTTATAACATCGTTTATCTTCAAAAACGTATAGTGGTGATACTTTTTTAGTACAAGTATAAAACCATAAGATGTTTCCTTCGTAGTCTAAAAAATTTGATCTATTTCCTGATAATAAGTATCCTGCGTAGGGTATTTTTAATACTGCTAGTGCAAGTG